GCTGCCATGCGCCGACTGCCGCACCTGCCACGCCTGTTGCTCTGCCTACCCCTATTCCAGCCGCGCCCGTTGCTGCGCCGATTCCCGCGACCGCCGCACCAGCCGCACAGCCGGCTCAAGGTGCCTTCATCATTATACCTCCTCCTCCCGCCGCACCAGCTCCGCCGGCTCCTACCTACCTCCCATCAATCGTCCAGGTACTCGCTGATCTCCCTAACCAGCCGTACAACATCGTGTTGCCTCCTATCGTCGCACACCAGCCTCCGGTCATCGCGAACCAGCCGGCGACAATGCAGAACCTCAGGATGCAGCTGGGCTTCATCATCATGTAGCGGCGCACTGTCTCCTATCTAACATATCGCAGGGAAGTAGATTTGAGACGGTCGTGAAACATGTAAAGTAGTTAACCCTCATCTATCGATTCTTTGTTGCATACCTCGGGATGACTAGCCTTGAACCAGGCGTGACTTGGAGTTTGTAGCTGAGACAACATTGATTTGTTGTCGTCGTCAGTATCTCGTGGAGAGATGTGGTGACGCCGGTCGTAGCCATGTATGTGAAGGGAGAGGGAGAGATTTGGAGAGATGCGGCTGGGAGCTTGAGAGCGGAAATGCGAAGATTTTCGGTAGCGTCGTGGCGTTTGCGATCGATCGGGGTCCCGGAGGGCACGTGACATCAAGGCGCCCCGAGAGACCGCTTGGCCCAGGCTCACTCTCTGCGAGTGGGTGCGTTCACGGCTGGGACTGTACACTCTCCTGCTGCACAATTTTTTGAATAAACGGTGCCTTTCTATATATCTCATATTAAACAAGGTCTGACTCCACTGAAAGCTTCCACCGATGCAAGCGGCAGATTGTTGATTCGCTTGTTCATTTTTGGAACGACAGACGACCAACTGACCAATCATTTATTGTAGACACTTACCGGCGATAGCCGCTCCGCAGAGTCTACGCACATGGCCTCGACTTGCCTAGCCAACGGTGTCGGGCAAGCGTGAATGGCTGACTCGCTCGTTTCTCGGAGGTTTCTGGATTTAGAGGAAGAGTGTCACCTAATGGCACGGCCCCAAGTCGCGTATAAGACCTGCTCAAGACAACTGTCATGTCATCAGCATTCTGCGGCACAACGTGACTGTTCTCATCCTTTCGCCGTGTGATCCATGCGTGTGGGGCGAGGACGTGCGTGCGCTCCTCCTAAGCCTCCGTGGACGCATGCTGACACTGTTCGTCACAAGTAGAGGGCTTCTGGCCCAGAGGATGCTCTACAGCAGATTCTAGGCGCTCTCAGTGCGTGTGCTCCTCTTATATACCGTGCCAACTGCACGTTCATACTCTACCGCGCCAGCCCGACGTGTGACAGTCGTTCCGAGGCTTCGGCATGCGTGCCTGCATCATACGCATCCCTTGCCGTGTTATTGCACCTCAATGTGCTTCGCTAGCACCCTGCGCTGGACCGGTCGTTCGCGTGGCAGGAAGCTCAAGTCACGCTCGTCTACCTCATGCAACGCTTCGCCGCGGCGTTCTCCATGTACGACCCGGCGTACGACCTACAGCTATGGGCCTGTGGCAGACGTTGACAATCAAGCTTCACGAGTTCTGGGTTCACGCGATCCCGCGCACAGACCGGCTGGCGAGTGTGCCCGTGTGAGGCATTGGCGTACGATCTGGGCGGATGCCGGCGCAGCGAGAAACGGGAGCTCAGTGTCTTCTGTGAGAAAGCAGTTTTAGACACCTCAGACGTGCTAGCAGTTCTCGTTGACCGGGAGTACTATCTCTGGGCTCCCTTTGATGTCCCTTCTGATAATTTTGAACATTACCTTTTACATTCACGTTTAGTGCCATCAAAGTCATATTAACAAGTGCAACATACCTCTGTCTGTCTTCCCGTATGACCACTGAGATTTTATGTAGACCATTCCAGTGTACCGACCACCCATATACCCTTGGGCTACCGCGGGTACCGCCGCGCCTGGACGGCGTGCGTGGAATACGTCGTCCATCACACCCGAGAATGCTAATCGATGCCGTGAGCATATATCAGAGTGCTAGATGTCCTGCAGCTGATCATGTTGGCAGTACCAGTGAAATGAGCCCGAACGCAGCCTCGCAAGATGTAGGTTTCGCGTGGAAATATCTGAGTGGATTCAGTGGTCATCAAAGGCTGCCTTTTGGGATGACCGTTAGAATTTTGGATCATGTTTCGAGCTCGTGTTCGCCGGCGCCTTGTGCGCACGTTGTTTACTTGTATTTATCTTATGATATTGTGCCCACGATCGTACCTGAGACATTCGTAGCGTGGATAAATACCTGCCAAATAGACTGCGAACGCTTGCACGTTTGCCTCCTTTCGACGATGTAGCCCACGACGGCGGCCTGCATTTTCAACAACGGCTACTGGGTAGCGTTGCACTACCGCTCCGCTCCGAGATGCATCCATTTGCGCGTCATTATACCCGACGGCATACTACTGAACTGGGTCTTTAAATACCATAAGCTTCGAGCATCTTGCTCGCATAAGTTACAAATCACAGTACTCTGAAGTCTGGTACAATCTTCAATGCCGCTGGCTCATGCCTCAGCGCTGGTCTCATGACGTCCCTCCTCTCCCACTTCTGCAACACCACTCTCTTCATCACAAGGTTCGTCGCCCCAGCCGTCCTGCAGTGTTCCCCCAATATCTCCCAACCGGCCCACTGACCTTTTGAATTGCAGTGACGACTGCCCTTGCTGCTGGTCACTCATGTGCATAGAGTAATCCGACACCGTCGAGCCGGCCGTCCGGAGGTTGATAATGAAACGGCTGATGAGCATCAAAGGCTGCGTGGGTAGTCCGTGAGTACACGGTGCAAACGGAACGTAGGGTGCGCACCAGGGTTGTTATCAGCGCGTTTATTATTGTTATATCCTTAAGCTCGACGTCAGCTATCTGCTCACGTACCCATGTCGGGGACGCACCGTATCGGAGAAGTTGAATGTCAGCAGCTGGGCTATATTGAGAGCTAGCAGAGCTCTTTGCTCATTGTCACGTGTGAGAAATTTCTTCTAATACGACAGTCTCGTTGTACTCACATGAAATACATGGTTCCTGCATGAGTAGCTGGGCTTCAGCAACGAGAAATATGAAGTCGCATACACGCCCACTGACCATCGCGCAGCAAACACGTCGTCAGCGACGCCTTCATCTTGAGGCGGCGGGCATTCCTCCAGTGTCTGAACGTCTTAATCCATGTTAGGATGAGCACGATAGCGTCAGCGAGAATGAGGGAGCCGCGTGTGGTATACAAGACTGTGAGCGGGTGGTATCAGTTCTTGCGACATGTTATCAGTCTCTGCCCGCGGAACATACGTCTGTATTGCAAAATCATTATTCTGAAAGCGCATCGCGAGATATGTGTGCTCACATGCTGGATTTTTGTATAGAGATCTGAGACTCCCCGATGCAGATTATTCCAACGGGCGAGTCCACATTTATCTTGTACTTTGTCATTGCCGCATCGTACTGCATAGAAGCATAAAATAGAGCATATGCAAAGTTCAATCACAAATGACACGCACCATATTCGTCGCAAATGGCACCATGCTCAAAGTGAACACTACCAGCGACCAAATATAGCTCTTATCCCAGACTGCGAAGACACGTAAGGCGGAAAAGACTGGCACATGGAGTTCAGCGGGTGTTTTTGATTTAGATAAACTGTATAATACGTGCGTGCGGTCTGAAGAAATTGAATGAAGGCGAGTACCCAGTTCAGGGCCTCGAGCGGCGTACAGCTATATGTTACGTATCAGTAATATTAGCAACCTGCTGCTCGCATACATTACAAAAGTTGCACTTACTCCTATAACAAGCATTGTCACAGATTACACACAGTCAGAAACACCCAAGTACTCAAGGCTTACACTTGCAGTTGTCGGCGCAATGTTCACGACGGCCGCGAGGAGCATACACCATCGTACCGAGCCAAGGAGCACGGCACGTGCAGTGATAGGCCTCTTCCAAACAATCTCAATCTCGTCGCCGAAGGTGATCAGAAATTCATAGGCAGCGAGGCCTGAGAGGCAGATACTGTGTGAGCAATGAAATGGGAAATGAGGGATGTACTTACACGCGGCAGCTGCGTCGACATAGCTACTCATGGCTCTAAGAGACGGAGGTGTGAGCATTAGGTTGCTAACTTGCAAGCAGGGGTGCCACTTACAGTCGTAAGTAGGCTTGGATAAGTGCTTGGCCTGACTGCGCAGACATACTAGTCAATGTGGGAAAGCGAGGGGGTGAGTTATGCTCAAGGTGAGCTACTGCTTGTACACTCTTTATGAGCGACTTTGCCAGTGTTCTATAAATAGACATTATTGTAATCTGTTACGGACATCTTTCCAGATGTGTACCACTTTACAACTGAGCGGTGCTTTGCCGCGCACCGTTGAAGATTGCGAAGTGCTTCTGAAGGTGTTGGCACCATAACGCCGGTCTCATTGTGACTAAAACCAGTATAGAAGCGGGAAATCAACACTTTGAGCTTTGAGGCGATGAAAGGCCTCCAACATGCTTGAGAATAGTAGGAAACATGTTTTCCGTGCAGACTCCAAACCAGTGCATCCGTGGATGCTGAAGGCCAGCGTCTCAGTCCTGCAGACTGATGAGTCATCGCTATTAGCCAGATTCAAAGGACGCTGTAACGTCCAGACTGGCGGAAAACATTACCTTGAAATAGACTTGCCAAGTCAGAAATTCGTTGTGAATATTCGTGAGCTTCAAACGCGTTGCGCATGTCGCGTTCTCGTCGACGTTCTGTGATGGAGCCTTCTCACAGACCGGCTTCTCAGTCGAAAAGCTCTATTTCCACAGAGAGCTGTCCTTGGCTGGACGTGAGAAAGTTTAGAAAGGATTTGGCAAACAGCTGGGCAGCTGGCAGTACTAGGTCATGCAGGATGTTCTCAGCAGGAAGCACATCTTCGCCAAGCTCGAGCTCCTCAACTTGCGCCACAGTCACCGTAGCAGCGCTGGAGTGCCAGTCAGCATGAGCACTCGTAGGGGTGAGAAGCACTGTCTTGTACTTGTCATATTGCATCTTCACCACCCAGGTCTGCACCTTCAAATGCTGATAGAGGTTTGCTACGATGTCGAGACTTCTGGCGATCATGTTCGCTCGGAACTGACCAGCCTTCATGGTTTCTGAGGCATCTTGGTTGAGGATTTTGAGTATAAGGTTGGAGAAAGAGGTAATATTATGATTTATGAGAACACTCTACAAGTCTTGATAAAGAGACATCGAAGGAGCATAGTCACAGGCAGTATCTACTTGGGCGGTGGTGACGAGCACGCTTGATGCGCCGCATGCCAAATGCGGGAGGTAGTCGCCTGCAAAAAATATAAAATAGCCGGAATTTGGTGATCAGTCTTGCCCGGTATCTGCCGGACTCCAGGCCTCAGATGCCGGTATGTTTACCAATGTTTTCCGCCGGTCGTCTGTGGATGTTACGGCGTCCTTTGAGATTAGCTAATGGCGATGGCTCATCAGTCCGCAGGACTGAGACGCTGGCCTTCAACATCCACGGATGCACTGGTTTGGAATACGCTTTCTGTGCTGCTATTTGCTCCATCTATCATTGCGGTAAGCGCCCAACGTTCAACTCCGAACACCAGACTACGCCCCTCTCCTTTCGTGCCCGACAAACATCTACCGCTCGGAAAATATCAGAGCTAACAAGTGCGCCTCGCTTCGAAGTTCCTGATGCGTGGGTCGGGCCGCAGTTTATCGACAACTAGTAACCGACAGCTTTCTCGTTCGAGACGCCGAGGCATTGATCCGCCGAAGCGCATCAGGCGCCGCGCCGCAGTACCCCATGACGCATACCGCGTGATGTTGCCGTATTGAGATGTGGTCCGCCCCTTGCAAGGCATATTTTATTGAATCGCCTTGTACACTCACTACAGTCGAAGATGCTCGCCAGATGTCTCAACGCTCTCGACATCTTTGAAGAGCCACTAGTAGGTCATTGGCATTTTCACTCCCCGGTCTCCTCTAGCTCCTCCCAAGCTCGCCGATGCCCATCCTGTACACTGATGGCGATGCGAAGGCGATCGAGCTTGGCATCGTAAATATTCCTTCAATTTTCTCAGAAGCAATGAATGAGACTTTGGGCTACAGGTATGTTCAAGAGTGAACCTTTGCCTTTCTTGTAACTTCAAAGACCGCCGTGACAGTGCAGCAGCAACTACCACAATAGTATGACTCTACCGAGTCTTATGTATCAGTGTGTGTACGGTAGGCACGAAGGTCAGGCCTTCAGGTTTGATACAATCTTATTCGTGATTCCATCTTCATATTACCCTTCGAAGAGTTGTATCTGCGTGGCTTCAGCCATGCCCGCAGGCGTAAAAGAGCCTCGGAGCTGGTCCATGTCGTGCCGGTAAGCATGCTGCTGCTGTGCGGATACTCAATTTCACGGTGGTAGGCCAGTTCGCGACTAATTCTTTTGAGCAAAGTATGACATTGCACGCACCAACAAAATGTGCATGTACCATTCTTGCGCACAACCACTTTCAGCTGCACCGATTTAATCAACAGCGTCCTTCGCCCTGTTCGATTACAAAGGAACCTGCGTGAGCCACTTCCCGCAGCGGTGCGCCATACAAAAATTGTCGCTGCTTGCTCGGGCCAGAAGCAAACTTACCCAAACTTGGAAGCCGTATTGATGCCGACCACGAACAAATGGCGCCCACGGATAGTATAAAACGCAGCGCCCGTCTTGTCCTCCTTCGCTCCAAACCGCATTCTCCGTCCCATTTCACGTTGTTAATATCGCCTTCAAACGTCGCCTTCACGTTCTGAAAACCGCGTCACATCGCTCAGGCCACCAAGCCACGTTTACAACGCGTCTCCAAAGCCAACAATAAGGCCACATCGTTCGCCTGTCCTACCACCTACGCCTTAGCCACTCACACAACAGTCATATACTACTTCCAAACAGCAACCTTGTCGCGCTCACAATATTGACGCGTCGCGTACAACAAATCGCCCCGCATGTAGACCACAATGCCCCCGAACAGCGCCCGCGCCACATCCCCCGCCTCGCCGGCCACAACGTCCACACTCACCGAATTACACGACCTGGACGGGTGAATCGCGTGGCTCGACCGCTGGCTCAAATTAACTGGCCCCCTCGCATCCGACGCGCCTCCCGAGTTCCAGGACGTGGCGCAGCGGAAGCTCGTCGCCATAACCGACATGCGCGCTCAGAAACAGAGTGAGCGGGATCGGGTGCGTGCCGAGCTGTTCGGCGCCGCGAGCAGCCACGATGGCCGTCTCACCGAGTCTGATGTCGAGGAAGATGGTCAGTCCAGCGACGACGAGAGTGGCTACTCCGGCGACGATGACGGCGACGACGCGCAAGGTCAACTTCCGCCTGTACACCGACGTGTCTCGCCGCTGCTCGGACACCATCAATATCGCGTCATGAGTCCCCCGCCAGCTTTCCTGCAAAACAGAGGTGAGTTCCGCTTATGTGACGTTCGATTTAGATAAATACTGACGCTCTCTTCGTAGCTCTAGCTCGCCCAAGTGGTGGACAGCCGTCGCGTGTCCCTGAATACAGGAGCCAGCCACCCAGAGACGATGATGTTCGACGGGGGACTCGTACAGCGGTATCCGCCACTGTTCAGTTCGCGTCGAACAAACTAGCAACAAATACAGCCAGACGAGGCGCCGCCCTGTCTTGCAGCCACCACCTCCGATCCGACACGCCTTCGGGCCGCGCCGAGCATGTCTCAGCCCCTCTCACCACTAGCGGCTACCGGGCGCACTCTCACCGTCAGCTTTGGACACACGCACAGACAGAGAGCCAGAGGGGGGGAAAGAGAGCACGGGAGGTCGAGGGAGTCAAGGAAGAGGAAGTTGATGAAGAGCCTCGGAAGAGGCACGCTGCGAACAAGGAGAACGTTGCCGCTGGCCCCAGCGAGGACGACGATGGCGACCGTGTCTACGAGGGTCCCAGGCCTAAGCGCAACAGGCGTAGCCCAGTCCGCCCGTCCTTCTGCCACCCATCTCGCCATGTGGAGAACCGTGACCGACTCCGCGCGGTAGATGTTGCCAACGTGCAGACAACCACGCGCGCCGCCATCGTTGCTCCGCCTGCCCCTATTCCAGCCGCGCCGGTGCCCGCGGTCGCTGCACAGGCCGCGCTGCCGGCTCAAGGTGCTTTCGTCGTCATACCGCCTCCGCCTGCCGCGTCAGCTCTGCCCACCCCTACCTACCTCCCGTCAATCGTCCAGGTACTCGCTGGTCTTCCTAACCCGCCCCACAATATCGTGCTGCCTCCGATCGTCGCACATCAGTTTCCGCTCACCGCTACCTACCTCCTGCCAGTCGCCCAAGTACTCGCTGGTCTCCCTAACTCGCCGCACAAAATCATGTTGCCTACGATCGTCGCACACCAGCCGGCGACAGCGCGGAACCCCAGGATGCAGCTGGGCTTCATCATGATGTAGCGGCCCATGGTCTCTTATCCCATATAGCGTAGAGAAATGGTTCTGAACTGGTCTTGAAATGTGTAAAGTAGTTAGCTCTCGTCTATCGATTCTTTGTTGCGTACCTCTGGACGACTAGTCTTGAACTAGGTGTGAGTGGGAGCTGAGACAACACTGGCTTGTCGTTGTCGCCAGTGCCGTCGTGAAGAAAAGTGGTGACTCCCGTCACAGCCAGGTATATGAGGGGAGAGTGGGAGATCTGGAGAGGTGCGGCTAGAAGCTCGAGAGCGGGAATTCGAAGATTTTCGGTAGCGTCGTGGCGTTTGCGATCGATCGGGGTCCCGAGTGCACGTGACATGAAGGCGCCCCGAGACTCTCACAGGCCTCCTATGCCCATCGGATTCTGCGAGTGAGTGCATCCCCGGCTGGGACCGTACACTCTCCTGCTGTACAGAATTATTATAAATGGTGTCTTTTATATATATTCTATACAGTATCAGACAATGTCTGACTCCGCTGAAAGTTTCCACCGATGCAAGCGGCAGATTGTTGATTCGCTTGTTCATTTTTGGGACTATAGACGGCCAACCGACCAGTCATTTATCATAGACACTTACCGGCGATAGCCGCTCCGCAGACTCTACGCACATGGCCTCGACTTGCCTGGCCAACGGTGTCGGGCAAGCGTGAGTGGCCAACTCGCTCGTCTCTCGGAGGGTTCTGGATTTAGCGGAAGAGTATCGCCTAATGCCATGGCTCCAAGTCGCGTATAAGACCTGCTCAATACAACTGTCATGTCATCAGCATTTTGTGGCACAATCATAGCCACTCCCATCCCTTCGCCGCGTGACCCACGCGTGTGAGGCGAGAAGGTGCGTGAGCTCCGTCAATGGTTCCGTGGACGCGTTCTGACTCTGTTCGTCCCAAGCAGAGGAGTTCCTACCCGAGCGGATGCTCGATAGCAGGTTCGAGGCGCTCCCGGTCCGTGTGCTCCTCTTATGGACTGCGCCAGCTGCACGCTCATACTCTGCCGCGCCAGCCTGACGCGTGGCAGCCATTCAGCTTCGGCATGCGCGCCTGCATCACACGCACCAGCTGCTCAATGCCTTCATGTGCTTTGCTGACACGCCGCGCGGGGCCGGTCGTTCGCACGATAGGAGGTCCAAGTTACGCTGGTCTACCTGACGCAGCGCTTTACGTTCTCTATGCACGATCCGGCGTACGCTGTTGCAAACACTGACGATCAGGTTTCACGAGTTTTAAGTCCACGCGATCCCGCGCACGGAACAGCCGGTGAGCGCGCCCGTGTGAGGCGTTAGCGCAAGATCTGGGCAGATGACGGTGCAGCGAAAAACGGGAGCTCAGAGGACATCTTCTATAGACAAAGCGGTTTCTAATATATCCGGCGCACTGGCAGTTCTCATTTCTCTGGATCCCTTTTGATTCTACTTGTGACCACCTCGAATGTTGCCTTTTTGCGTTCACATTTAGTGCCATCAGAGTCATATGCTTCAGTGCGACATAACTCTGGCTAACTTCCCGTATATTCACTGAGAATTTATGTGGACCATTCCAGCGTACAGACCACCCGTATAATCTTGGGCTCCTGCGGGTACCGCCAGGCCTGGACGGCGCGCTCGGAATGCACCATCCATAGTGGTTGAGGGTCCGGTCCTAAGGACCGGTTGGGACCGGGACTCAGACTGAGACTGGACTGATTAGGACTGGGTACAGTCCAGTCCTACATCAGTCCAGTCTTGGTCATGGTCCTTGGTCCCAGATGGCCTCGGATGTTCTTAGGACTGGTCATGACCGGTCAGGACCAGTCCCGGACTGAACAAAATGCGACAAAATGGTGGCAGCCAAGCATTGACTTAGCTACCAGCAGATGTATATTTTGATTTCTGAATAGCTGCCACAATTCCGTAGGCTTATTCAACTATACAGGGGTGTTTAAGCACAGATCAATTCATTGTTCAAAAGTACTCTAATTTAGACTTATTTGAAGGCAGTCGCACATTCAGCCAAAGCTGCTGTGTGACGGAAGTGTGACTGGCTTACCGGCAGATGAGATCAAACTATATAGGACATCCGGCATACGCCGGAGTTCTCTGACCGCCTTGTGGGGAGTGACATACCAGAAACAGT